TATATATATATGTATATACACATATGCATACATATATATATATATATATGGGTCCGAAGGGTCTTAGGGAGGGATTTCAGGACTTATTGAGGGCCTACGAGGGGTTTTAAGGACGTCGGGGTTTTATTCGGGGATGAAGGGCCTGGGGGTCTGAGATGATCTGAGGGTTTCAAGTCTTGTCAGGGCCTTAGGGGTTTAGGGTTGAATCAGGCGTTTTGGGGTTTAGGGCTTAAGGATCTTATGGATTTGCAGGTCTAAGGGTTTCGGGGTCACGAGTCGGGGTTTCAAGGGTTTGAGATATCACAGGGTTATCAAAGGGTGTAGACCCTTTGCTTTACGGCTTCAAGTGTGTTTTGAGTTAGTTCACGAGGGATTCCTCAGCAAGAAAAACTCCAGGGCCTATCTCCAGAGGTCAGGCACCAGCTAATGGCTGTTTGTTGTTCGACTACCGAGGCTTTAAGAACCCAGCAACTCCAGATCTTGTTAGGAATGTGCAAGGGTCATAAGTACAGGGCTTCTCGGCGAGCCGTCGACCCGAGGTAGTATTTGGGAAGCCCTGCGACGACGAGTCGTGCCAAGGGAAGCACATCCTCAACACCAGCTGGAAGGACTAATGTCTGGACTAATGTAGGGGCCTTCATAATTGGAATAGGGTCTTGGGGCCCATCATACTATAATTATAACAAGAACCCCCCAAAAAAAACAGTATTGGTAATTATTTAGGCCCCTACATTAATTTGGCTTCATCAGGGATGCCTGGCGGAAGTCGGGTGCTCAATGAACTTTCGACAGCTCTTTCTCGGACTTTCCCCGGGAGCCTCCGGGCATGGGGGGGGGGACCAGGTCAGGAGACCCTCCTTGCCAGGTTTAGGGTCTAGGACCCTAAACCCTAAACCCTAAACCCTAAACCCTAAACCCTAAACCCTAAACCCTGAATCCCAAACCCTCTAAACCCTTGCTCTGGTGTTGCATGTTTCGCAAGACCGCAAGCTTCAGACCTGCGTGTTCGAATGGTTTCTGGCTTGTACATATCCGGGCATCCTGTGATAGGTTTCTCGCCTAAGCCCGGAAACTCCATGATGACTCCCCCTCTGCTTCGGCCGCGAGACCCCATAGACTACTTGGAGGATCATGGGACTTAGTAAGTAGGGTTATAATTAGGGTAAGTATACTAATAACCCCAATGAAGGGACTCAGAACCTGACTTACTAAGTCCCATGATCCTCCAAGTGTGAGACTATGAAGAATGCGAGTGCTCGAAGGATCTGCTCTACGACCCAAGTTCTCTGGAGAAAGACCGAGCCTTGATCCAATGGGTTTCCGAAGCTGTGGGGGGTTTAGGGTTTAGGGTCTAGGGTCTAGGGTTTAGGGTTTAGGGTTTAGGGTCTAGGGTTTAGGGTTTAGTTTGTCTTCGGGTTGAAAGCAAGCACTTTCGGGGGGGGGGGGGGGGGG